CAAAAAAACACGTAGGCTGGGAATCAGTCTACTTAGCTACACTAAAGTACCCCCTTTAATAAAGGACATTAAGACAGATTTGACAGAGAACAAACTTTAAAGGTAGATACTTTTAGGTTTAAGAACGTATTAAAAATGTTGGATAATTGATAGTAAACAATAGGGAAATGATGACCCTAGATCGCTCACCTCAGATTAATAATATTCAGATTGTTTCATACTGAGTTGTGACAAAATTGGACTTCTTAGTCATAATTCATATACCTTTTGTAGTAGATAACAAAATGATACTACACGATAAATATCTGAGATAGCCTGGTGAATACAGTTTCTTAAAAGAAGTTTTCTTTAGTTGGCTTTCTTTTTAAGTAAAATATGTGACTCCCAGGGTGGGTCATTTCTGGCGACAGAGTCATTACTTATAATTATAAATTTGTAGAACAGTACATGCCAAAAATCTTGTCTTCAAAGAAGAAGATTTAATTTTGTTTTTCCATATAAGTCTATATAAATTATGTGACCCTAGGGCATGGCCAATCTTGACTATATTGGCATGATTAATAATATGCATAAAAGTAAGGTCAAACACCTTAGCTCCGAGGAAAAGACCTTTAAAGTTTCTTTGTATCTACAGTGACCTATTGAAACCGTTTATGGAAGACTACATACTTATGCCCACTGTAATGATTCATATGACGACGACTTTACTGCTTTATTGGTATTAGAAGACATCAGGTACCTGATATTGGCGAACTTGGTCGATTTCCTTGCTCTGTTATTTGTAAAGTAAACTCGATCCATTAAATTTTTGCTTAAAATGATTAAAATCAATTATTTAGCAGTCTATATATCATATGTACATGTATAAAGATCACTGTGACAATATTAGCAGTATATGTTGGGCAATAAGAATGAATTCTATAATTGATCATTTAGGTTTTACTAATATAAGATTTTTTTTGATAGCAATATGAATTATCTTAATATTACAAAAATAGAATAAGAGACCCATTAATCTGCCAAAATTGGAAAGCTGTTGTAATTTTAAAAGCAGTTTTGAATTTGAAAAATATCTACAGTCGATACTGTTTTAAACGATAATATGAGAACGGTTGTATCAAATATAAGACTTAAGTCTCATGTTGTTTTTTTTTCAGACAGAAACTGGTAGATTTAACAATGTTGATTGAATTGATAGAAATTGTAAAATATTTTGACAAAATTTAATTTAAAATGAATATCATTTTGTTTTATTTTGTCTTATATACAGATCAAAATATATAGGTCAATTCTCATGGCAAACTCTACAACGATTTAACAAATTATTGCCTTCAAGGAATAGGAAAACCAATTTTAAAACTTGTATTATAGCATAAAATCGGCTATTTTTCCCTCTTTTGCCCATGTTATAACGGGACCAAAACCATGTGTTAACATAGTCACGCGCTCTTGTTATAGCCCGGTTTCACCTATGCGCAATACATACAGGGCCCAGTAAACAATCAAACAAAAAATGACGATTTGGCCTGTTTGCCGAAGAGTCATGCGCTCTTGTTATATTGAAATTTATTGATTCGAGGGCCTCAGTCGCATATTCAAGTAACTATGCCGGAAAAACGGCGTATAGACATCGGTGCTAATCTTGGTTGTCGCCCTTTCTAAGAAACGGACAGTTGTCAATGTAAACAAATACAGTAGAATCTACCTGTCATTCAGTTTAACACTCCGATTAACTTACAAAATTAGATAACACAAATTAATATGAGAAAATGTTTTTTATTTATGTTAATGTTGATAAATGCTCTTTATATTTCTTTGAGAGAATAATGCTTAGTGCCTGATTTTTTTATAAACTTGTTTGCTTGAAAAAAAAAACGATTCTGATGTCACTGATCTTTTTTTTACCGTCAATCTGAAATCATTCTAAGAATTTCTGAGGTCATGTTTTGTCTTGGGTAGAGTAATGTAACGTTTTTTTTCTTGAGATAATAAATCTCCAAAGGCCAAGCTTTGTTAAATCAATTAAAATTCAAAATTTCGTTCGGTTCCGAGAATTTTCCAAGTTGTTGGCCCCGGAAAAATGAAACGCATACGTAAAACATAGAATTGGATAAATACCGTCCAAGCACAAGACTTTAATGTAATTGTGTTTTGTATAAACTATACATCACGAATCTGTTTGAAAATTTTATGCTATAATAGCGTCAACGCACGTTTATTTCGTGTTATAAAGTCTGCAGAGTCCCTCGGAACTGTTGGAGCCCTCGCCCTACCGGGCTCGGGCACCAACCGTTCCTCGGGACTCTGCAGACGTTATAACACGGAAAAACGTGCGTTAACCCTATAAAATTCATAACAAATGTGTCACAGGATGAGACTTACGCATCATCTTTCCTAAATATAGTAAACGGTTCTGAACTGTGACATTTTTTTGAATATTTTATTTTTTAGTTGGACGCCAAATGTCGCAGGGTGAGAAAAATGGCTTACACATCATCTGCCCTTAATAGTGAACAGTTCTGAAGATTGACAAATGGTTTATCTTGACGTTCAGATACTCTTGACTTATACATGTTTACTGATCGTGAGCATTATATTTGTACATATATTTATGTTTGTTTGTTTATTTGTAATATATCACATGTATTGCCTTGACATAATAATATTCTGCTGAATGCTAATAAACTTTGAACTTGAACTTGTTGTTGTTTTATATAATTAATTTTCTGTATTTCTTCAGTATATTCAAAAAGATAAAAATAAACAGTTTTAAACAAACAAATGTGTATCCAATATTCATGAGATTTTCTTTGAGCAGAAAAACAAATACATAAACAAAACGGTTAAAATAAAAGACTCATAATGACCGCAATGGTCTCACTATATAGTTCATCTTAACGAAGAAAGCAACTTCTTCAATCTCAAAAATAGATGGATGAAAGTTGAACAATCTATTTATTAGCATTTATTTAATTTGATGATCATCAGTCATTTACTACTGTGACTTTAAACCCTTCTTAATAAGGCAGGTTACAGTACGCAGCTCTGTGAATTCACACAAAGTAAGACAGTGACCTATCTAAACATCCTATTTAGTGAAACATGCGACCGATGCGCACGCAGGAAAGAAGATACAGACTAATCACAAATATTTGAATTCGAGACGATATTCCTATATAAGCCTCCGTGTCATTATGTAAACTTAACAAAGTATTCTGTTTTTCAGCGAAATTTCACTGCATATTTTTTTGAATAAATAAACTGGTATTTGTAAAACCCAATACGATAGACGGTACAAATATAATTTTTGTTCCAAATATTTTTTTCTCTAATCTGTCATTATTTTATATCAGGTAAGTGTAGAAGCGAACCATCTAATTCTTGTAAATAACTTACATGTACACCGAATTGTTTAGTACTATGGTTTAATACATTTGGACTTTTTTGAGCCAGTTCTACACGTAAGCCAAAAATTGCAGAAAAATAAAATCAAAAACGTTTCTTGTATTGGTACTTGTGCCCCGTGCAGATCATCAACTGTCACGTGTATTTTGGCACCGTGCCATCTTGATTTAAAAGAGAGTAAATAGAGGATATTTATTTGTTTGTTTGTAAGATGAAATTTTATTTCATCGAGTGAGCTTTAAAAACAGTATTTTACGAGTGGCGTAGCCACGAGTGAGACTACTGTTTTGAAAGTTCACGAGATTAAATAAAATTACATCTTACACAACAAACAAACAAATTTTCTTTTTATTTTATGCTTAACAACAAGTTAAAACGAAATTTCCTTGATATTTACTTTTATATTGAATTCTGTTTTCACCATTGGTAGCCTCTCTATTAGTCGAATTTCTCATAAAATACAAGAAGTCTTGGGCTGAAAAATAAGTTCGCCAATCAACGTTAAATGGTGATGATATTATTCATTTTATTCAAATAATATGAAATATCGCTGTTTAAATAATAAAAAACAAACAATTCTAGTAGGAGAAAAAGTCCAACCATACATCCATTTTTCTGTTACTTACGGCAAATTTATATTAGACTTGGCTCTGTAAAAGGTAAGCGGCAGCCATTTTTAAAAGTCGTTTATTTCACAGCAGGAAAATAATTGTGTTTAATTCAAAGGGGTATCATTTGGATTTGTTAGTCATACATCTTTTGAAAGAAAGAAAGCTTTTTTTGAGGATTGTAACAAACAATTAATAAGTATTGACAGACGTGTAAACAATGAAAAAACGACTAGGAAATTAGAACACATGGACTTTTTGAAAGGCTGCCTTACACACTTACGAACGCTTGGTTATTTACTTATTCTTTGGGCTGATGTCTGTCATTGTTTTCAAGTTATTCGGCAGTTATTGCTTGTAGGATACTTAAATGTGCCCAAATGTCACCAAGAGCAGTTCTGCATGTGGAAGGAATTGTATTTTACAGACTGTAAAATTGAAACAAACATTTATAGACGATATTTGGTGATTGGTAATTTGAATGAATTGAAGTAAGTTTTCTTCTTTTTAATACTTATGAAATTTCAGTTATTTATCAATTTCAGCTTTGCTTTTCTCTAAACAGCCCTGACAATGTCAGAATTGTCAACAGTAATAAAATTGAGGTACCGCAAAGGGAAAATCTTAAAAAGTAGTCTCATCTTTGAAAAGTGTGTAATTATATTTTGATAACTTTCACTGTGAAATTATCTAATATAATTTTTCACGGATAAATCAGTTATCCACTAAAAAAGCATTAAATAACACAGTTTTAATTTCTAGAATTTTATTTGAATTCACCAGTGTGGATGTTTCACTTGTCATATGCTACCCATTCAATTCAGCAAAATTTATAATTTAGCTTAATACTTGAACTCATTTCAATTATAATTGTACAATAATTCTAATCTAAACATGTCTAAACCAAAATCACGTGAAAGAAATACTTTTCTTGTAAGTGGTTCGAAAGGTTACAAAACACTAGGTGATTACGTAATTGACCTATGTGCTGAATTGATCAGTTCATCGTTGGCTAAATTATGAAAAGATTTGAAGTATTTTAAGTGCGAATCAAAATGCCGGAAAATATATTCATGTGTTGTGAATCTTCAAGCAACCTAGTCCCACCACTCGCACTATTACATTTCACCCATACCCTGTCGCCCTTTCTAAGGTGAACAAATATTTTTGATGAATTGCAGACGTATGTATTTCCCTCATAATAATGAGAAGCGGAGTAGTAAGTGTTGTTAATCATGATATTAACATACATATGTACACCAGTGTAAAGACAAAACTGGTAACTAAACGAATAAGATCCGCCCACCGGTGCTGTAAAGTATCCAGTTGTATTGCTGTATGCTCCGCCCATGTTGACGAGGTTTGTTGTGAAGATGAATCTCTCGCCACTACTTACAAGGTATGTTGTCAGAGCATGCGCGAGAAACACCACAGTGGCTGTAAAATTATACAAATAAGATTGCTAATGCTGTACTTGTATGTTGAAAGACATTTCAATGATCATAAAACCACGCCTAACAGATGCATGAAATAAATAACATTGAAAAATGCTTCAGTCACGTTTACTACATATATTTCTGACAATCTATCAATTTAAGTTCAAAAAGTGTGGCTTTTCAAAAACACTTTTTATTCGAAAAAATTGACAGAAAGAGTGAATACATCAGGTTAAAAACAACATTGACAATGAGTGGTTTTACTTATTTGACACGTATAATGACGTGACTTTCGTGCTATTATTGTTCATTTTATTATCAGTTAAGCTCAAAGTGCCCCGCGATGAGCTGTTATGATAGCAATATGTCCGTCTTTCGTTGTTGTCCATAATTTTATTGCATATCCCTGTAAAGCAAATGTTTCATTTCACGACGTGTCATATACATGTTTAGATATAACCCTGCTATCTAATAAACCTGTGGTGAAATTGATATCATGTTGAAAAGATTGATTAGAATTCATATGACATGTGAACGTATGTGTTATAGCATCGTTTAGCATCGTAGATACATTTATACCCCGTCATACAGTGATGTAAAGAAAATCGGACTCAGATATTCACCAAGACACTTCATTCTCGTGAAGAACTACTTTCGTTAAAATCACAATGACTGACTAGAAATTTTATTGTAGACACGGCGTTATTGTGCGACTGCACGATTTTCACGAGCTATTACTTTTATTTTAGATTTACTACTTAGAATACAGCGGCGTACCTTGTGCGAACATTCTGTTTTTGTTTTTTCTCTACTGCTGTTTTTTTTCCTAACATGTCATATTTGAGCAGTATCTTTTTCTATAACCAGTGATGGTAAACAATATAATTATATGCATGTGAGAATGTTTTGTGTATGCAGAGGAGCATCTGAGTTCCCCCACAATCGGATGAATACTTATATATACCTATTGTATAATTATTTTATCATTCATGTTATAGACCTGCTTTTTATACCGGACACTATTATTGCTACAAAATATTGTTAAACCTCATGTTGTATACTTTGATATACCTGACTGAATAAAGTATCTGTCGTCGAAAAGTCCAAAACTTGATTGAGTTAATATATTTTTTATCACGCCTACGTTAGCAATCGCAATTATGTACAAAAATGCAACAAATGCACGAAAAGAACCACGTACTGCCGGTAATTCGTTAACTTCGTTGCATGTTGTTTTCAAATCATTATCGACTTATTGTTATAAAACAGATTTTGCAACCGTCAAGTCGAATGTTCATACGGAAAAGTGAATGAATTCAACATAGGAAAAAGAAGACATCCCTGAATAGTCATAACAGTCCGGACAAGGGACATCACTCGAAAGCATTTGAAATCAAATTTAATGGATGACAACCTCAGTGTTTGTATTACAGAGTAACATTGCTCGTTATAGCCCGCCTAAAGCAAAATTAACATGTATTTTTTATTACTAATCATGAAGTATTGATATTTAATTTAGTTATTTGGAACTGATTTCAACAACGTATAAATTTGTTCAAATTTCCTTTGGGATTCAATTTTGTTTTGCTAAAATTCAAAGTTCTTACCACATTGTTTCTGGTTACAATCTTGCACCTCTGTCACTGGTCCAGCGCAATATTGCCCATATAGAGATGGTGATGGATTCGTACATTTTCTGAATCTTGATCGCAAACCTCCATCACATGTTGCTGAACAAGATGTCCATGTTCCCCAGGAAGACCATCCTCCGTCTGAATTTAAAAAAAAACTTTGTGTTGAAAATTAGTATCGATGTTTGTTTACTATATACATGTAGTTCAAATCTGTCCTTTGGAGCAGAGAGTCAATGCCTTTTGTCAAAACACCTCATGTATGTTTTCTGCTTTGATTTCACTCACAGTGAACAAACTTATTTGATTCGTTTTATTATTTCATTTTCTGGTATTTTTAACAGGGAATATTTTTTCCACATTTATAGAGCGTAAACCGTTTAAAGGGCTTTCTTTCTAAAAATATTCTTATCACAAAGAGAAAACAAAGAGAATCTTTTTTCTGTACCATTGTTTATGATAAATACATTACTTACTCGCACAAGGACCCAGCATACATTGTTTGTATTCTAATGGATCCCCAAAGCAATGGTCTCCAAAGCGTGATGGGTAAGGATTTGTGCAGTTACGAACCCGTCTCTGTACCCCAACATCGCATGTTACTGAGCATGCACCCCAATTTCCCCATCCTGTCCATCCACCGTGAACTAAAAGAAACGAATCACTTTCGGAAATAAGAATGATGCATGTTTAACAGACGTGGTCATGATATCAAAGGTTTAGATAATGACTTGATGAAAAAAAGACTGAACTTTTTTTAACATGACAGGATTAGAAATTGTTTTGCGCGATTAATATTTATACTCAAATTGATGTACGTCTAGAGTCTAGACAAAAAAACTTGTCCTCAAAATTTCAGATAATTCGCTCACTCCATATTCCAGAATAATTTTTCTGATTGTTAAAAGATGACCCAAAATTGAAAAACGATGCAACGATTTTCTCTGAAATCGGCACAAATGAAAAGCACAAATTTATGGGGTGTTTTTGTAAATTATGAGTTTACTTTTTAATTATCTTTTGCAATTCTTTCTGTTTTGAGGGCCCGGGATGATTTATATTAGAATTTCATTTTTTATTCTTTGGGATCGTAGCAGAGTTTCATTTAAGACAACTGACAATCCTGACACTTTCTTGTAACGAAGCATATTTAAAATGCACCATTTAATCGGTTGTTTTAACTTTTTGTTATAATATGCAATTTTACTTATAACTTACTTGGACATAGCTGTTTTAAACATGATTTTGTATCGGTTTTGTTCCCAACACAATCAAGGCCATTGTGAGCTGGCGGAGGGTTGGTACATGTTCGTTTTCTTGTCTGCATTCCTTTCTCGCAGGTTACGGAACAAGTCGACCATTGCGACCATTCTGCCCAGTTCCCATCCACTTAAGTAAAAAATCCCATTAAACGCTAGAATTTTTGATGTGCGCAAAAGTTTTATTTAAAAGATCGCAATTATTTTGTGTGGGTTCTATAATGGATTTTCAAAGAGCTTACTATTTTGTTATTTAATATGCCCAATGAGTCAAACTTACGAGTCAAACAGGCGTCAAATGTAAAAAATTACATGATTGCAAATAAGTAAAACAACGTCAATTATAAAAATATCAAATTCTGTTCTATGTCACAATAAGATAAAAGAATTTCAATCACTGCTATTGATATTGTATATTAATAACACGTGTATTTCTGAAAATTTTTAACTTTGATACAATGACTGATGATGATTTAGAAGTTTTATCATTTGTATTTTATTTTCTTTACTGATAATATTGTTTGTTTTTTTCTTTACTACCGCTGCAAAAACCTTGCTTTTAGCTTGAAAACAGTTGCGAGATACCATTGTCTGAAAATTGGAGTCTTATAAATAATGTTAATGTTAAACAAAAATATGTGCTTTTAAAGAAACGATCATACATAAAAGCAAATGAGTTAATGACAAATGGGTTGAACATTGAATATTAAAAACCCATAATGCCTGAACAATTGATATCTTTATATTCATTAAAGCTATTTCTATTTTTTGTTACACATTGATTACAGAGCTGAGTCGTCTTCAGTTTCTTTTGTGTGTTGGCAATTAGTACAATTACAGTTTTTTTTTTTCATGGAAGCAACATTTCTTACATTTTGAAACATCTTTTACAAAGTAGTTCACATTCAACGCTATTTTCTTCAAGTAATAAGCATCTCACATATATGTATTCTAAATTCATTATTATAAAATTATAAAACACTTATTTTCTTTATCTACCGAACGAAAAATGTATTCATTTCCGAGGAATAAAGTGCCTTTAAATTTAATTACTCAGGTGTTAGACTTACTTATAAGGGTAATATATATCGTGAAGTAAAGGCATTGTACGATCGAGATCTGAAGCATTTGACAAAATAAGTCTAGACATTAAAACAAAACTTACTCTAATCGGTTCCATGTTAGAACCCATTTTCTATATGGGTCAGAGATATGAGTTTTGCTATATGGGTCAGAGATATGAGTTTTGTGTATACAATTTTTAAAGATATTAAAATATTAAAAAAAAAACTACATTTAATTTACGTTTTTGTAAATATGTATTATGTTCCAACATTTGCCGCTTGTGGTGAACTCTGCAGAAATACTACTACTCTTACAGGAATGTGTAACTTACAAAAATTCTCACCTAATGTGCAGAGGCCGCAGAATTTCGGACAGACATTTTTCGAATGCTGAATGTCTTTGCATATGTTGAACATTGCATTTAAGTAAGCACAATCTACTTTCACATCGTCCATACACGTTGTAGCTGAAATTTTAACGTAATGTTATGATGAAGTCTGAATTTATCACAACCAATATTACAAAAATACAAAAGGAAACCCATGAAAATGCGATTACATTTTGTAAAAAAAGGAATGTTAAAAAAGCTTAATTTGGACATTATGTTGTTACGGCATATGGTTTTATTTTTTTTATTTAAGTTATGCATTTACATTAATTGATTATTTCTATAACTTATTGTACACTGAAATATCCTTTTTATATAATTATAATTTATATAATTATAATTTGTAACCTGTTTCTGATTTCTTTTTAACTTTAAAAGTAATTACAGCTTTTAAAATGATGTTTAAGTACTTTTTACTTTTTTAAATATTTTTAAGGTTGTGGTGGTAATATTGAAAAAAAGGCTATTTTGTTCAAAGTAAGTTTTGTGAAGGTGATTTGCTGCGTTTATTGTCCCTTAAATCTTTATGTTTTCTATGTAAATGTTGTTTTTGTTGGTATATAATTTTGCTTCATGTCGAACACTTGGATTCGCGTTTGACCTGGGACAAATTTTTTATTTAGGGATACTAAAGCGAATTAATATATAGATTTTACTTACAACGCCAAGATATAACCAAGATATAACTAAGATGCTCTCGTATCTTGTTTATTCAGAGAGACTCATATATAGTATATGCCAGAAAAGTAGCTTTATACCAAGGGTAACAAATTAAAATTAAGAAAAGGCAGTTTATTCTATTTACTCTTTATGCTAACTTAGATCTACAAAAAGGAACTTACGTTTAAAGTGGATACATAACTGGTTGTTACATCTCTCTGTACTGCAGCATTCATGGCAGCTCGTTTCTCGCTCACTAACCTCCCGACCAACAATTCCTGATTGAATACCACATTGCTACATATAAAACATTAGATAATGTCAGCATGAGTGTCAGTATATACAAGTAAATGTTTGTTAAAGGCACTTAATAAACCGAAAAGTGAAATCAAATTCAAATGTCATTTACTTTAATGATTTCTTCGACAATTAATGAATTCAAACTTTATTTATAATTGCAATCATCCAGTGCCAAAAGAGTCATCTTTTTATCATTAAGTGCGCTTGGTATTTGCCGTTCCCTGCAAACCTAGTTAGTAAGAATTACCAGAGAACTTACTTCGTTATTAGTGCAGCCCATTGTGAACTTTGTGTCTTGTCCAGATGTAAAAGAGTTTGTATAACATGACTACAATTTAGTAACAAAAACTATGTAACATGAGACACGTACATCTTAGAAAAATCTTAGCATAAAAATCGTTATTCGAGTTTCGATCTACATTGTATTTAAATAGAATGAGGAATTACATTTGTAAGACATTGATTACGATTATATTTGAACTTCCTGACTTTTGAAGCATTGATTCTTTGAATCAAACTAAACTCGTAGTTCAATAATGAACCATGTATTTTCATAGTTGATATATTCATGGTCTGCAAGTACACCCATATTATATTTAAGATATTAAATTAAGACATCGTTTTTATTATCATTAGTTAAGAATAAGTGAAGGTGACTAATTAAAAAGATAATGATGATATGATACCTGTCCAGTTCGACATTGTGTGGTTGAGATACAGTTGTTGACTGATGACACACCCGAACATGAGTAGCATTCCAGACAATCTGATTTACAATGTGTAATAGCTATTTGCTTTATACAACTTAATTGTTAATCATATAAATTAACAAGAGATAACAAAAAATTGTTTGAGCTTTTATTCTACCGTGAAAACATATAACGTAACATTGCTTTTATTTGGAAAAAATCTAGTTATTTCATGTTTCAGTTAAAATTACTAAGTGTTATTACATTGCTCAATTTTAAATATGATGACTATTGATACGTTATTTTTTATGTGATTGTATTTTTTTGTATGGAAATAAGCAGATCTTTCCAGTAAGTAATGTAACATTTGTTATCGTAAATATTTGCGATACTTGTTAATACATGCAAATTCAATGCACTTCCTTTAAGGTCAAAATAAGTTGGCGTTGTGTATCTTTATAGTTAAAAAGGCGAGACTCTTTATGCTCTTGACTTTTATTATTTCAATAAGTATAAAACTAAGAATAGAGAAAATATATATCATAAAATACAAACCAACTGTGTACAGTGTTCCAATAAGGAGAATAATTAGTATGTCTGAAAACAAATGACAAATGTAGACACTTTATAATTAATTACGTCGTATAAAACCCAGCAACTTTACACGGGTGTTTAAATAATTAGATAAACAAAAATTCTTTGATAAAACATAAAGCATTGTCATTTACAAATTCAAAAGATTTTTGTGTTACCTTTACATTTTGTACTACATGTAAAACAGTATTCATTTTGCGTGTGCAAACTTTTAAAAGAGATCGACAGTTATAGCAAAGTAATCATAAAAAACAGAACCGTACAGACATATTTTAGAATTTTCATAAGAGACGTTGAATGAAATTACATATTATATATATTTGTGGTAAAAGACTTGTTCAATTTCCAACAAGTACAGTAAGGGAACAATGTTACAAAAGGACGAGAGAAAAAATGCAACAAAGGTGATGGATTGTAAACATCTGCAAATAAATACTTGTTTGAAATGAATTAGGAAAATCTATGATTGTGCCTAAATGCAATGAAAGTGTTTATAGATCTAGATGTTTATTTTTTTTTTTTTTTTTAGATTTTAGTCAAAAATGGAACGAGTTACCTTGGCGTTAAAATTTGCTAACAAAATAGATCCAATGAAGTAAAGTTATTTTTATACATTAAACATTTGGTAAACCAAATTTATATTTAAAATCAAAACACTTACATGATGCTAGCATTGTTAAATGATGTTTCACTACAGGTTTGTCAGTCTTTACTCCATGTCAAGATTAGAAAGAAATGACCTGGGTTGATTATCTTGCCATATATAAGCGATTGGAGATATCATTCTTAATTGATAAGGTCATATAATACAAATGTCATTTACATTAAGAACAAAACCGCAATCTGACACACTTTATGTTATTTCAAAATTTGTACTACTAACTCATCTGTATTGTTTAAAGAGTTCTTTAAAGGTCCATTATGCCCCATTAAGGAATCCTCTATTTTTTTCAAAAACTTTTTGATTTTTATGACCCGTCAAAATTTAAAAAAAGTTACTCATTGGCCAATATTCATGAATTACCTGAACCATCTTCTTCTTCTGTTGTTGCTGTTGGATTTTTTTGTTTTTTGTTTGTTTTTTTGTTTGTATTTTGGCAATAAATACAGATATTATGATTTAGTATATTGTACGGAAGTAAAAATACTACATTCTTTGTACTTGTTTACATTTTGCTTCATTTATAAGGACTAATTTCACATGCAGCCCTACAATCTTCAGGTGATCAGGCATGTAACATGCGCTTGAACTATTACTAGTATGTAAACGTTATAAAAAAATGTTTGCCCCTTTTTAGTGAATGAAATATTTATTCGTTTCTGTGGCATAATGTTCCTTTAAAATGTTAAATGTTGATAAATATTATTTTTGATTTAGTAATCTACGTTTAATTAGAATGGGACAAAACTTACGGCAGAATCTTAATAGCTTTCAAGGTATAACCCCCTAATACATTACCTCCGCTTTGAAGGGTAGAACTGCTAGAATAGCTAGAACTACTGTCACTGAGGGATGTGCGTTCCAAACCAAGAAGGGTCAACTTTGTTATTCTTTCTTTTTTCTTTTGATATTTATTATGTATCTCTCAGATGCCTAAAACTTTTTTGAATTAGACTCTCTAAGCAGGAATGTTTAAAATGGTTCATGAATAAATATTTCAAACATTTTGAGTAGAAACAATCATTTTGCCTGTGTGATTTATAATTGAATGGAAACAATCGTAAATAGGAAAACGCTTTTTTTTATATAAAGATGATCATATAGTTTCCTCATTAAATTTTATATAAAAAAGAGCTCTTCTAATAATCAAGCTTTAGTTAAAAAACGTGTCCATAATTCTTAAAACAGGTGTCCTTTAAAGCATATATGTGACCTATGTTGTCAATTTTTCAGTTTCTCATAGTGCCCATTATGGCGGGTCGGGTGTCATACTTAACCGCCTTTCGCTTTAATAGCTGTACATTAATTAAATGTATCAGCATCATTTTAAATAGTATTAAAATTAAAAGACACCATAAACTATCTGGTTTACAATCTAAACTCTGATTTTTTCCAAGAGTACTTACAGAAATATAGGAAACTTGACAAGAGAAAAAGTGCATGACACAGATATGACTGTGAAAATGGAAAAGGGAATCCCATTAAAACATATAGTTATTCCTTTCAAGTGGCATTATGCATATCCAAGTATAAATGGTCAATGAACATGCAAATATATAGTAACTTTACACAATTTTGTTCAATTTTATATTTAACAATGAAACTAATAATCCAATGAATTTCTATAAATATCCGTTAACGCTCAATTCTTTAAAAAAGAGTGTGACAGTCTTTATAATTTAGGTAGTTTCTATATCATGTATATTGTATCATAAACAATTTTCATTTTAAATTATTGGTCAATCACCGTAATAATAACCAATCTTTTGACATATATTAAGCATAATGCAACTACAAGTTATTAACTGAAAATATTTGAAATACATTTTTATATATTGATATCGAATTAAAATGTGTGTCAAGTATGGAATTCAATTCATTTCAAACAGTTTTGAAAGAGTTAAAATGTCACTGCCCTAAAATATTAAGAAAGAACGTGTCAAAAAACATGACGAAATGTAGGTTAAGATAAAGTTACAAATTTGTAAATCTACGAAAAAGTAATTAATGTAGGTTAGGACACTGCTTACTTGACAAGATAAGTTTCCTTAATAAGCAGGTGCTCTTTTTTATTGTGCCAGTTTTAAGACCGATGTGATTATTACCATATGTTTGTATGCGAGGGTATTTCAAAAAGTTATAGAAGTACACAAACGTGGATCTTGAACACTAAACAAAAATGAATAAATAAATGTGGTCATCAGCAACAAGAAAATGGCGAACGTGGAAAAAGGGTAGGTTCAAACAGTGCAAAAATAGATTAAATGCCATGTAATACACGCAACCACTTAGGTTGCATTATCCTACAGTCACACATTTCTTGATTAAAAATCTATTCTTGTACTTTAGTTTTCATTTTTTCTACATGTTGCATCAAATGTGCATAATAGACAAAGAAAACGAAAACAATCATACTACAAACACATGTGGCTCATTATTCTGAAGTGACAACTGATGCTATTTTCGCTGTTTGTGCTCAAGATCGAAAGGTCGAATCTATGTGGCATAATTACTCTCTCCCGAAATTTATATGTTCATGAGAATCATAATCATGTCTTTCGTTCATCGTGTTAATATGTCGAATCATCTTTTATAGTAAATACTAATTTAATGCGAATTTATTCTAGTTTTCGATTCTATTGAAGCTATATAGATTAGCTTAATGAAAAACTCTCGAATACGTTCCTCGAACCAACCAGTACTATTAAAGCAGTGAGTGTAAAGTTTCTAGCTCATGGACTTACCCCTGACCGGGTTTCAACCCATGCGGATTACATGTACTAGTCCGACGCGTTAACCACTCCGCCACCATTCAGCAAATATTTGGCACCGGTCTTTTCTCTATTCGGTAGGCTATCGTAGCACTTTTCGTATCAAAGTATAACACCTGTCTACATCAACACAGAACATGAATCAGATTTGAGAAATAAATTGTGGATGAAATATCGATTGTTTTCCAATTTAGAATTTTCTTTTTGCTACAGGTTTCAATGGCGCGTGACTCCGAGGTAAGTCTCACAATAGGACAATAAACTAGACCGTGAGCCAACAATATGCTATCTGTAAAACATGAGACTCGGCCTTACAGAAGAAACCTTAGGAAAATTAAACAAACTGAAGTGTTTGTGATTTCATATTTAATACAGCTTGATGGCATGTTAGACCTTTTACAAGACAAGAGACTTACTATGTCAATACCTAGGAAGGTTAATTAGTATAATGACGTATCATTCTCTTAACAATATCCTGGTGAGCGGTATGGTCGAGTGATTAACGCGTCGAACTAATAAACTAACGATCGTTAGTCGTGTGGGTTTAAATCCCGTCAGGGGCAAGCCGTTATTTCCTTGTGCAAGAATTTTACACTCATTGCTCAGTACTGGTTGGTTCCAGAAACAGATTCGAAACTGTGTCTATAAACTTATAGCTTCCTATACAATTCAACTAAAAATAAAGTATGTACCAAAATATAGGGTAAGGCTACAAAATGAGTTATTTCAAATGATAAGGTAGTAACGTACATTGTCAAAACTTGTGCGAAGGTATTCGTTGTCTTTGTAAGACAGTGTTTGTTTGTGCGATTTCGGTTAGTGCATGTTATAAAAAAAAATTCGCGACTGTTCGGTTATGATGTTTTAATCTCAAAGTATTTATCTGAAGAATGAGCTCCTCTGTGCATTTATCTGGAAAAATGGGTAAATGTAAAAAAAAATCAACAACACAAAAACAACAAACAAACAAGAAACATGGCAATGCCACGAAACCAGGTTTTCAATTATCACCATTGTAGATAAATATGTTGTATTTGAAATACAAATACAAGCAACATACAATGTAACTATGTGCAATGTAAAACATGAATAATAAAGGAGGACTTGCCACAGAAGAAGTGTTCACTATTTATTCTGTATAAGGAAAAAAAGCAAAGGGCCATAATTAGGTCAAAAATTATCCAATCACCGACAATATGCGCCAGGGTACTTGATGACATAGCTTCTGTGAAAGTTTGAACAAAATCCGTTGAGAAATGTAGGACGAGTTCAGCACAGAAGAATTTGTTCACTATATATTGATAATTTTGTATAAGGAAAAAAAAAAAGGGGCCATAATTAGGTCAAATATTATCCAATCACAAAATCCTGACAATATGCGCCAGGGCACTTGATAAAAAAGCTTCTGTGAAAGTTTGGTCAAAATCCTTTGAGAAATGTAGGAGAAGTTGCGCTCGATGGAAATTGTTCACTATATATTCTGTATAAGGAAAAAAGTCAAAGGGCAATTATTAGGTTAAATAGTATCCAATCACAAAACCCGACAATATATGCGCCCGGGCACTTGATGACAACGCTTCTGCGAAAGTTTGGTCAAAATCCGTTGAGAAATGTAGGAGTTCAGCGCAGAAGAAATTGTTCACTATATACGCTCATTCTCAATAAAACACAGCATTTGATGTTCCACTGCGTAGCTCTTATACGAAGGTTTTTCTTGAGGTCAAAATGTCGTTAGAAAGGTGGCTGCCACTTTGTCTAATAGGGACACTCTCAGTTTTACATTTCTATCTGTTAATTTTCTTTTACAAGTACCATTAATGCCCTAAAATGTAACATACGTTACTGTCGCCACCTAGAATTTTCAACTTTGAAATTGTGTTTCAGAAAAATAAGTTCCAGAATAAACGAAACATGTGCAATTGGTCATTGCTGTGTGTATATGAACTTTGATTATTGGTAAAAATTATATTTGACTGTTAAAATCTCATTGGTATAATGGATGATCAAATGTCGCCAAATACATATAAATAAATAGTGACAAACCTAAAACAATAAGAAGTGAAACCCAAATTACATAATTGAATCGACGCATGCTTAATAATACAGCATATATATAATTATAAGTAAAAATAAGCTTGCAGCCTCTCAGATATCATTCTATTTTCGGAAATTTTCATTTTTTATTCAAATCTTTTCAACAGCACTTTAAAAAGAAACATACGTTACCATTATTTAAGAGCCAATCCATTCAAAGAAGATCCCAAAAAAGAAAGAAAACTAACATGTGTGTAACTCTG